TTCTCAGAAACGTATCCTGATGTAAAATTGCTCGAATGCTACCCTAAGGATCATATTGAACCGCGTGTCTTTCTGAATAGACATGCGTTATTTAAAGACTGTCAGCAAGCTATGGCTGAAAGGAGAATTTTTAGACGTCCTGTTTTCTAATAACTCGGAACTCCTAAATTCCGGGGTTCACGATGGATTGTTTTTCGAAGGAAGTTATCTCCAGCTGCAAAACAAAATGTAGTCACACCCCATTTCGCAAAATTCAAAGCGCTATAGCAGTGCAGTCTAGGTTACTCCAAGGATTCACTTCTTTGCTATCCTCTCTACTTAGAGCAAACATAACTCTTAATTAAGTGAACGCGCAGTTTGGAGACCTAGGGGTGGGTCGAGTCAATCTAATAAAACCTACGCGATAGGTCTGTGCCGGATCTGTCTTTGTCCGGAAAAAAGGACGTTTCCAACTTGCAGACAAGAAACGTTGTAGGACAAAGACATTTAAACGCCAATTTAGAATCTTGGTTAGGCTCTCTTACAAGCAACATCGTAACACAACTAACTAATGTAAAAATACACTATAACTAAACTAACTAAAAGTTAAATTAAACCAAAACTACTATAACGAATTAATAAACTTATAACTAAAGTAACTTAAATAAGTAGTTAGTGGTTTTGAAGTAAACTACGATGTTTCTTATAAGGAACCGTTACCAAAATCTTTTTTTAGATTTCCAACATCCTAGGGGTTTTCCCCGTTAGCGAAGTTGGGCGTTTTCTCTCGACTTCCTAGGTTTAAAGCCGCCAGACTAGAGAGTTCACGCTTGAGTCGAACTCCGTAGAAAACCAGCAAAAAAAACTTATTTGATTAATACCCTTGGTTTGTTGGTTTCCAGTTAGGAACAATCAGGGTTTTGACTGATCTCTATTTTGGTCGGCGAGCCAATCTAGTAAAATTCACGAGCCAGACCTTCAGTCTGTGACATATCTGCATTTTGAGGGAAAAAATAGGGCATTTCCAATTTGCAGACAAGAGGTGTTGTAGGACAAAGACATTTATACTCTAATTTAAAATCTTGGTAAGGGTCTACTGGAAGCAGAACCGTAGTTTTCTATAGCATAACTAACTAAACTGTAAAGTAAACTGACCTAAACCGAACTAAACCAACTAAAAACTAAACTTAAACTGGACTGAAACTAATCAAACAAAATAATACACTAATAACTAAGCTAAATAATAAACTACAATGGAGTAAGTAGTTAGTTATGTTATAGTAAACTACGGTATTGCTTATGAGGAACCCTTACCAAAATCTTTTGAGATTTCCATCACCTTACGAGTTTTTTTCCACTAGCGTACTTGAGGGTTTTCTCTGGACTTTGCAGGGGTAAGACAGCCAAACAAGTGAGCGGAGTCGAAATCCACAGAAAATCAGAAAATTATCACCTGACCTTTTGATTAATATCCCTAGTTTGGTCGTTTCCAGTCCAGAACAACCAGTGTTTTGACTGATTAAAACTCTGGTCGACTGGAAAATGTATGCATAATAGAAGTCAATTTATAGCTTTTTTGCATAAACTAAACAAATATATTTCAAGTAGCACTGAAAAACCCCGGCTGGGTCAGACTTCCTGAACACAAACTAAGCTAAGCGGCTAGCTTTCAAATGGTCATATCAAGTTCAGGTCTTTTTGAATACTGTGTGTTTAGGTTTGCACATTGGAATTCGGTTCATGGACCTATGACGTTTCCCAAATGGATCTTTCTTGGTGGAGACCGGATAAAATGACGGCACCCATGCCGTACGTCGACTTTTCCGACTACGTGCCCAGCAATGAATGGCGTACTTACGGGGAGCTTGAAAGAGACCTTCCTCACGAGAATCGAACGAAACAGGTAAGGCTCGGTCAGCTTTGAAAATTAGTTTCTGCGTTTCCCAATAATTATGCCTATATGAGGTAGTTGATTGCAAAAGATAGGCCTGACAGTTTAGTCAGGTCTAATTTTTTCCAACTTTAAAATCCGTCTCGTGGTACCTTCCCAGAGATGAGAGCGGTAATGATATGAACAGCAGATAACTGGGCAAGTTGGAGACAACTGCGCATACTTGCATATGCGGAGTAACAGTACATATATCCCTCGACTGCGTTTTAGGTCGGGGGGTCAAGTATTTAATCCTCCCACGACTTAACCTACATCAGAATAACTGTCTCCGTTACAGATTTGCTACTGCCTAGAGTGTGCTTGCCAACAATTTTGTATATTTTGTTTAACTGCCGCATAAACCGTTTGTTTCCAGAGTTACGTCTGACTTTTATAATTACAGGGGCACACAACGCACAAAATGTGACGATACACCCGAGGAATCAACTCTTAATCTTTGCAACATGGCCGAATATGCTGCTGCTTCGAGCTACTGACTCGCATTTGTAACATACTGCGGTAACGGTTCAATTTAGGTCACCAAACAGCACGCGAAGAGGCGTTAATGAGGGTTAAATAAGTAGGGCTTATCAGGAGAAAGAAAAAAATAAAAAGGAGAGCGTATAAAAGTGGAAAACAATAGGAAGAATAATTTAAATAATCAAATAACCCTATATTTCCGCGCGAGAATTAAAATGACCCATTTGGACACAATTATCGACTCTATATCATAAATATATGGTGTAGAGATTATGTAGAAATGATATAGAGTCAACGATTGTGTTCAGTTGGGCACAATTGGACCATTTTAATTATCGCGCGCAAAAAATCGA